AATACTTACCAGTTTGGCCTACATTTTTGAAATTCCCTGGCTTGTAGGATACAGAACTCATTTCCATTTATCTTAATGCTATCAGGAAAAAGACAAAAAGGAGAAAATAAAAATATATTTCATTTTCTCAAATTTCTGCCTAGTATACACACCTGGACTTGAGTATTTGTATTGAGGTAGGTTGATATAATATCCTCCATGTAACCCCTGAACTCTGAGGACTTTCTCCCTGTGTAGCTGATGACAGCCAGGAGGAATATAGGGCACTTTCTCTCGCTAAGCACAAACAATGTATCTATGAAGAAAAAGTTCTTGACCCAGTAAGCCATTTTTTTTCTTTTTACTTTCTTTCTTTCTTTTTTTTAATTGTGAAAATACCTTACAGAGGGATTACAATTACATGAGCAAGGTAATGAGTACATTTCTTATCAAGCATTGTTGCCTCCTCCTTTGTTTCCCCTACCCATCCCTTCCCATCTCCCATGCCTCCCCACCCCCTGCCCCACCCCAGTTTCCCCTGCCAAAGTTGTAAAGTTCAGTTTTCGACATAACGTCTCCTACATCTCATTGTTGCAATGGGTCCACCGTATCCCTATTTAAACAATTTGTTTTTTTTCCCTTCCCCTCCACAAATTATACCAACATCAAATACAGTGAAAACAGGGGTTATACCATGGGGGAGGGACATACAAAGCAACAAAGAAATATCTTATAAATATGTTAAAAACAATAGCAAAAAAGAAAAACCATTTGAGTCCTTATCTTGGGGTTCATTTCACCTAACATAATCTTATTTGACCGTTTCTGCTTGTCTCAGACATATACTAGTTACTGCACAGAAGGGAAACCATGGGACCTATGTTTCTTTGGGCCTGGCTCCATAAGCTAATTTTTTGACAGAACATATCTATTCTGAAACTACTTGGAATGACCTATTCTTTTATGAATTCAATTAATATGATAAAGACACTTGTATGGAGAACCTTCAATTTTATTATGTAACATGCTTAATTGTATTTTTATTTAATAATGAAAAGAGTCTGTCATGTTATCTTAGTGGGAAATAAAGAGATAAATGATAATATGATTCTTCCCAAAGATATTACTCTGCTAGCAGAATGAATAGAAGCTACAATTTTCAACATACATGAACCAATTCAGCGGGCTATTTGTGATACATATGGATCTTTTTCTTCAACATTCATACTTTATTATTTAAATTTCTTCAAATTTATGTTATTTTTCACTCCCATGGACATACAGTGTACTTTTACTTCTTTACTTATTTTCCATTAATGATTCCATCTTTCTATTCTGTCCTATCATCTTTAATTCTAATGATCATGCCAGGAACATGAGATTTAAATAAGATGAATGTTACAGAATTTCAGTCCTTAAAGATTTTTCCGAATAGTGAAGAGAAATCAAATAAATGAAACCTTCTGTCTTGTTCATATTTAATTTATTTTTCTTAAAATTATTCAATATAACTTCTTATTTATTTCTTTTTTAACACTATTCAATGAACCAGAAACACAGAACTTTGCTTTGTCCAAATAGCTTAGAATTAGTTTCAGTTAAAACACGCCAAGTCCTGATAATTCAATTTAAGTGTTTGCTTCTGGCTAGTTCCAGGTCTTCAAAGGCTTCAGGTCATCCACTTAGTTAATACTCAGACTAATGACTTATAAACTAAGTTTCTTTTCATTCTATGTGAAAGTCTAAACTCATCAAAATCTCCATGGATTTTTCATGGCAGTTATTTTTTTTTTCTGATAACTTTTCACCCTTGCTTATTACTGTTCCTGAACCTGTTCAAATAGCCTACCTCCTGTCAGAATTTTCTCCCTCTCCCTTTGCTTTTCCTTGGCTCAAACCCTCCATTATTGAACATGACAATATTAGTTGCTGTTGTGCAACCGTCTTTTGCTAAGGGCATAACAAACAAAGGATCATCTTTAAATGTAACTCTTTAACCGGATGCAGGTGGCTCACACCTGCATCCTAACTACTCAGGAGGCTGAAATCTGATGATTGTGATTCAAAGCCAGCCCAAGCAGGAAAGTCTGGAGACTCGTGTATCAAATAAACTCCTCAGAAAAAGCTGGAAGTGGTACTATACCTTACCTGTTTGAGTGCTAGCCTTGAGCACAAAGAGGATCAGGGACAGCCCCCAGGTCCTGCGTCTAAGCCCAAGGACCAGCCTCCACCCCAAAGTAATATTTTACATTTTGCTTTTCCAGAGTTCTGTACCTGTGGAGGGATTTATCACTTGTGGACGGAACCTCATTCTCCTTAGAGATTTCCTTTTACCCCATTTTCTTTTTTTCTTTTCTTTATTTCTGAATTCTCTACCCTCTAATTGACAATGGCTAATCTCCAAATACCAGTCATGTAATTACAAAGCATATTTTTCCTCTTTTACAAACCTCTATTTTAGATCATGCCAATTATCTTTACCTTTTACAAATTAAAAAGTCTATTTTGCTGTTTTTATCTAAACAAAATATTCATCTTTTGAGATGAATATTGATCTTGAAAGCAACAAATTTTGTTTAAAACACTTATCTTCTGTCAGTAATATTACACTCTGGTACATGTGATGGACTAAGTTTAGTCTATTTTTGATCATTTGAAAGTATCTTCTATTTTTCTTCATTGCATTTATGTCCGTTTTAGTTAAATTTAGTTACATTTTTTATGTGATTAATATATTTCATGTCTGTATCCATAGGATATTGTGAGTTTTTCAATGGCTGGGATTATGCTGTTAAACAGCTTGTTATATGAAATAGAGAGGCATCAAATATACATTTGCTGAATGAATGCATGAGTGAGTGAATTCTTGGAAAATAACTAAGAAAGATTTTTAGTGTTTTATGTCAACAACGCCAGTATGTACTACCATAACTTTCTCCTGACTGAATGTGGGCAGACGCACTAGAACTTTTGACAGCTCAAAAAACTGGGAAGTGAAGAAACAGCTAATATGTCCCATGGATGTAGGCAGAGTTTGAGATTGCAAAGTCAACTGAAAGAAAAGACTGAAGAATATCAGAATTGTTAAAAGAAAATTGCAGCCCAGTTGTTTAATACTTGCATTGCCCCACTGATGGATTTTGTACACTAAAACTTTTCATGTAGCCTGAAATGGTAGAGATATAGGAGACTGTGGGTGGGGAAGAATGAGTAGGTACATATTAACAAGGTTCTACGAAGAGAGATTTTAAGTGGAATTAGAAACAAATATGGGTTTCAAATTAAGCTTAGTTTAAGAAGCAATTTATCCATCAAGGATAATTGCTGCTTCCCCTAAAAGATGTCATTTTTAAATGTGCCTCACATCAGCATAACAACTAGCTGATTAAAAATAGGATATTTACATATACAAAGGAAAAAATGAATGAAAAAATTTCACCATATGTTTAAGAGTGCTAATGATCTGACAATAAGACCAAAAATAATGTTGTTGGAAGATATATATGGAAAGGCAATTCAAAAGTCTCATACTTTTCAGTCATATAATAGTATATAATCGATGTACTAACTACCACAATACGAAGAAAATTGTTCCTTGATTTGAGGTGCTTTGTTAGTTCATAAAGTCACAGTTCTGACAAGTTAGTCATCCTATGTAGCCCTATATATTGTGTGGTAAATTGCAAAATAAAAGAGGTGGTTTCCATCTTCCCTTGAAGCAGAGCTTGAGTGACAGATGTTAGGGTACAACTTTTATTTGTTTCCAAATGAAGGTCTTTCTCCACTGGACTGACACTTTCCCTCTCCTAAGTGATCCATTTGTGTAGATACTCATGGAATGATCTGTTCATTTAGATTCCAAAATAGGCACATTTATGAAAGAGCTCTAGACATCTGCCACCCCTTTAAAAATCCTCTAATACTCGAGACAACCATGCTTGAAGTACCTAGGTTTCAAACATTCAGATGACGAATATTAATGAGTCTGTGACCCCAGACCCCAGCAAATGGTAACAAATTATCTGTATTCTACATCTGAGAATGTGAGAAGATTAGGAAATGGAATCTGGACATCATCTTGTCAGTTCTATCATTTCCTTTCATATGGACTAAGAAAAGTGACGTTAGCTTTCCCAATCTGATGTTCCTGACTGGAAATAGGAGCACGGGTATATGATTGGTAGGAATTAGTGGGTTATGCAAATTTGTATCTATAGTGTTTAGCTATAGTAGAACTATATCATGCTTTCAGAACACTTATTAGTCTGCATCAGTAGATTTGTGTGAATTAATACACACAAATTGACAGAAGAAATGGAATTAAATAAAAATTATAGCATTTTCATTTGCTACTTTTCAATGTGACTAACACTTTGAAATCTTTGAATGGAAAAATAAAGTGGTTCTTTAGTAGAGGAAGAAAGCTGGTTTTAATTTGTATCTTAATCTATTTTTTCCATCTTGTTGCATTACTTTTTCTCCTTCAGTTTATTCTATTGGGCAAGTTTCTACCTTGGATTGATACCAGTTAACTTGCAGTATACATTTTTAACACTTTCTCCATGTTTATAACTCATGATATTCAGCATGTCTATTGCAGCTTATATTTATAGATATAAAACTTAGTCTCATTTTTGGAGATTTCTAGGCTCACAAGCAATGTCTGGAGATATTGTCTGATTTTATTTTTTCCAGATGGTTTCTTTTTAAAGACACTTTTGGACTAATGTTATGCTTTCTTCGCAGGTTATATTTTCTTATATTATAGTTCTAAACAATTTTCAAACATAAAGCAAAACTTGGTCTCTATGTAAGCAAACAAAAAAAACCCAGAACTTGAAACATGTTATATATATTCTTCTGGTGAATATTACATACAAACTCTCCCTTGACTTGAGAAACACCCCAAATGATATCTTCAAATATGCTGTTATTCTCTCTTTTCAGAAGGAATCAATGCTCTTAGATTTGGATCCAAGTACATGATGGTTCAGATCACTCTATTTCTCTTTCTTCTGCAGTTCATTGCTTTTGCTTCTTTATTCTTCATCTTGGTTTCCATCACAACCTTTTGCCTGGAAACGCACGAAGCTTTCAATATTGTTAAAAACAAGACGGAACCCGTCACCAACGGTACAAGCGTTGTTCCACAGTATGAAATCGAGACGGATCCTGCCTTGACCTATGTGGAAGGAGTGTGTGTAGTGTGGTTTACTTTTGAATTTTTAGTCCGTATTGTTTTTTCACCCAATAAACTTGAGTTCGTCAAAAACCTTTTGAATATCATTGACTTTGTGGCCATCCTCCCGTTCTACTTAGAGGTGGGGCTGAGTGGGCTCTCATCTAAAGCTGCTAAGGATGTACTTGGCTTCCTCAGGGTGGTAAGGTTTGTGAGGATCCTGAGAATCTTCAAGCTCACCCGCCATTTCGTCGGTTTGAGGGTGCTCGGACACACTCTTCGAGCTAGTACTAATGAATTTTTGCTGCTGATCATCTTTCTGGCTCTAGGAGTTTTGATATTTGCTACCATGATCTACTACGCCGAGAGAGTAGGAGCTCAACCAAATGACCCCTCGGCTAGTGAACACACACAATTCAAGAACATTCCCATTGGGTTCTGGTGGGCTGTGGTGACCATGACTACCCTGGGCTATGGGGATATGTACCCCCAAACATGGTCAGGGATGCTGGTGGGAGCCCTGTGTGCTCTGGCTGGAGTGCTGACAATAGCCATGCCAGTGCCCGTGATTGTCAACAATTTTGGAATGTACTACTCCTTGGCCATGGCGAAGCAGAAACTTCCAAGAAAGAGAAAGAAGCACATTCCTCCTGCCCCGCAGGCAAGCTCACCGACATTTTGCAAGACCGAATTGAATACGGCCTACAATAGCACACAGAGTGACACGTGTCTGGGCAAAGACAATCGACTTCTGGAACATAACAGATCAGGTAAGGCACAATTCTAAATAGACGTCACGACTGCATAGGCATGGGTCATTACTTTGTATACCTTCTCCCTTAGGCAGAAGGCAGCTCTCCTCATATGTATATGGAATTTCAGACTTAATTTTAAATTTAAATTGTGTGTGTGTGTGTTTGCGCGTGCCTGCACGCGTGTGGGTGTGATTGTAGATATTTACAAGATAGAGACTGTAGGCCAATGAAGACCAACCTATACAGTTTCCTGACATTAGTGGGAATGACCTTTCCTGATGGTGCCAATATTTTTTTTTTTTTTGCCTGTTTGTTGCTTCTGTGCCAATGTTTCTTTGTTTCTTTGCACAATGTGATGGTATGGCCATTTTTTTTCGTTCTTCCTTCTCCAAATGTTGATCTCCATATCATTTGGCTTGGTGTGTTTGTCTCAGTTTTACCCCTGCCACATGGTGCGGTGCATCTCAACAGGATCCACAAGAAGCCGTTATTTAAGGAGAATGGGTGCTTGCACATTAAAGGCCTAAACACCAAAGAGGTGATATGGAAGATAAGTTTTTCAATGGCAAGGTTCTTTCTTAGTAATATTCTGCAAGATTAGCTCTATTTTTTATTGTTTATAAATTAGGTTATATTAATATAACCCTTTGGTGAGATAAAATTCTGTGTCATAGAATCAAAACTCACCATTTCTCAGGGATATATGATGTGCTTCTGCTAACTAATGACAAACTTGAATTTCTCTGTGCATTTCTATTTTTCAATGAAGCGTGCACTGCATAACTTTAGGTAATTTATTACTTGAAATTAGCTATTCCTCTTCACTGCCAAAGTACTTTAAAGTTGATCCTAGCTTGATATTCAGTATGCCAATGTAATGGTGAATAGTGTCATCCCTATTACATCTGATTCAGGGGAAGGAAACATTCTATAGTTTAAATAACTTTTCTTACTAGGAAAAATTGAGGCATATGCATTCTACATAATTTACACATATTTAATTTAGTTTTTCTTGTAGATAAATGACTTGTGGTCACATGTATCACTTAGAAGTAACACAAAGTAATGAAGTGAAGAAACAAAAAGGCAGATATCCTTTTCATAATTCCTTAGCTTCCAGAAGTACTTTTAGCCCTGGCTGGTCTTGGACCATATTTCTACTGCCTAGTCTCCCATGTAGCTGAGATTACAGGTGTGGATAACATACCTGGACTGGTAGATTTTAAGAAGCAGATGGAGGGGGAAAAAGATACGGCTGGAGTGAAATCCATTGAGCAAGCTTTATGTTCATTTAGGAAATTTTATTAGAGGATTTCAGATATATCTTTCACAACAAATGTCTGAGAGTTAAGATTATCTTTATGAAGGGAGGAATTAGCTTGTGCTGCTGCTCTTATTTAACTGCTTTCAGAGTATCTATACAGAGCCTTTAAGAAGGGAATGGAAAAGGATGATATGCTCATTTCTGGATATGCTCATTGGCTAGCATGCAGAAGTAAACGGTCATTTCAAGGGCATTTGGAGAAGTTGATCTGTTCCACTGTATGCTCAAAAACACTGTGTTACTTCAAAATGCAATATCTGAACATGCAGTTTTTAAGCTTTAGGGTTATTTTTATTACGGTTTTCTAAAAATTACTTTTAGAGAACTAATAAAAGCAAGCCTCTTAGGAAATTACAAAAAATAAGAATTCGCTTGAGAGATTTTTTTTTTCCTTTGCTTGAGAGTTTTTCCTTACACGGCCTCTACTTTTAATGATTCCCAATCATATTTTCGCAATAGCATGTAACATATTGTAAGGCAAATTGTGTGCTAATACATGCTCCCAGGATTTTTTTTTTTGAGTTTTCACTACTTGGGTGAAAGTCAATAATATATTAGGCAAAATCCTCAGAGCAATAAAAGTTTCACAAAGAGCACCTTTCTTCTTTGCAGTACATTTCCATTTTGCTCCACATAAGTTATTTTATTTGTGTGTGTGTGTGTGTGTGTGTGTGTGTGTGTGAGAGAGAGAGAGAGAGAGAGAGAGAGAGAGAGAGAGAGAGAGAGAGAGAGAGATGAGTGATGAAAACTCCTTTTCTTACTGTGATGTGATGATTGTGTTTTGTATATTGCGTGCCTGGACTATGGGCATTTGGTGTAAACTTTTTGTCCTGTCTCATTTCCTCATCCATCACTGTCTGTCCATGGCGTGGTGCTGTGACCAGTGTTATCAGGTGACGACAGTACAGGAAGTGAGCCGCCATTATCACCCCCAGAAAGGCTCCCCATCAGACGCTCTAGTACCAGAGACAAAAACAGAAGAGGGGAAACATGTTTCCTTCTGACGGCAGGTGATTACACGTGCGCTTCTGATGGAGGTATCAGGAAAGGTAGGCATGCTTTAATCAGATCCTAACAGGTGACTTAGCGATTGAGTGAGTTCCAGAAATATGTGGAGTGATGTAAAGACCCATTCATCATTTTCTTCTCCCCTACAGCCCATCTTTCATTTTAAGCACTGAAAAATGCCTGTCATAATAGATTGTCATACACGAAAGACATTTCTCTTTTTCTTTTTTAAATTTGCATATGGGCAGAACTAAAATGAAATATGTAAATACTAAATTATGAACCCAATTATTTTATAATGTACTTAGTACTTATTTTACTACAACAAAGTAAAACTCATCAATCAGAGCTATGAATAAATTTGATAAGAAATTGATGACTGTAAAACAAATTATTGGCTATTTTTATTTTCAGAAAAATACTACACATACTTGAGTTCTCTTTTCTAATATTTGGGCAGATTTGTCAGGGATTTAGCTGAGTGTGTTAAAGTATCAAAGGTACAGGATCTTCAGGCAGGAATACCTTTTAATCCCTTGAAAGGTTATGTAAGTGCTTACAAATATACATATAGTATTTTTCCTTACAAAAAAATAAAAAAATTGAAATTCATTTGTATTTTCTACCAGACCCTGAGTATGCCTGAAACATAAGATGGCACATAAATATCAAACAAATAAAAATGTTTTGTCAAGTGTCTTTTTAAAGTGATATAGCAAAATATCTATATGATATCTATATGATATCTATATATATATAATAATTTGTCCTAATTGGCTAAATTTGAGTGAAAAATCATCATCCAATTTTCATATTAGTGCAAATGCATTTTAAGAATAATTGCTTATTTGTTATTCCACTATAGTTTTACCCAATTGAATTCCTTACCATTTTAAACTTGCAATGTTATGTTGTCTTTCTTTCACATTTTATCTCATTACTCATGTTGCCTTTGTCTTTAATTTCTTCTGATCATTTTCTGTTGCCTTCTATTTCTGTGTTTTTGAGGCTCAGAAGAGAGAACTAAAGGCCTTTCTTTTTCTGAGTACTACTTTAAATACTATTCTTTTGCAATTATTTCTATCATCTACATCTATTCTTTGAACTAAAATGTGTTCCAGTCATTGAATGGGTTTACTATTTTACATTACGCATGTGCTGGAAACATTAAAAATGTTTTATGAACATAGTTAATATCTTATTCTAGTTTTGTGAAAATATGTACATAGATTAAAAATGATAATACCAGTGTGATAATATGTTGCATTGAACATATACTTTAAGGTTCATTACCTAACTTACTCTATATCTACATGTATACTTCTGTAAAATTTGTAGGCATGTTCATCTATATATTTGTGGGTAATTCAACTTAGATAAATTTTGTTCATCATCCAATAAAGAATTATATGAACTAATTTACCAAGGTTACTTGTTCAAGGAAAACTTGCTAGAATTTTTTTCTTCCATGTCAGAAAATATTTTGAATTTTAAATTGTTAAATGAGTTTACAGATGAGAAAGAACTTTGAAAAAATAGGTATTATATAAATTATATATATATATAAATTTTAGATAATATATAAATATATATTACATAAACTATGCATATTCATGAGCAAAGCAATTAATAAGATATTTCGTTTGCATGGAGAACTTATGCATTCAAACAAAAATTCTCCTTATCACTAAAATCATCTTTGAAAACTTATCCATAACATTTTATGCCATATCAACTTTTTCATTCTTATTTATTTCTCTTGTAGTTGTGTATGTTTGTTTTCCTAGGTCAGATAACATTTGTGAATAAGTTACCTAAGCCTTCTAGTTTGTCATGTTCTCATATCTTCCAAGAATTAATTTCCTCTCTTCTGTCCTATTATGTAGGTTATATTTTTGTATTCTACTTAAACATTTATTTTCCATGAGAAAATTAATTTGCCTTCAAATTGGTGCCTCTACAGATTTTGTTTTGAAGTCCTAAAAACTTTACCCTATGTAAATGAATTTACTGGATTGTTATTGCAATTTTCTTTTATACAAATGTGAATATAGTTGATCATTTATTAAGAAAACTTGAAGATTGACTTAAGTAAAATCCCAAAACTTAGAATCTACTTTTCTATTTGTACAGTAGTTTTTAAGAATATGTATTATATATACATTCTTTTGAATAGTACATTTATGGATAAGCAGTTCTAACATTGCCTCAAAGAAACTTTGGTCTCGGGATTTGAAAAAATATGTCCAATCCAATATATTATTTTGATTCTAGTTTAAAATAAGCCTAAATATAAATTATATCTTCAGGTTTTACTCCAGTAAAACATCAAGTAAGCAAAAATTTCATCAGATTTCCTAGTCAAAATCAAACATAAAAATAAGAATAAAAAGGTATATGAATAACAGAATAACATATAATATCACTAATTATGTACTTGTTACTAAACTACAAAATCCTTCTAAATGAATATTGAAAGTACAGACATTAAAAAGAAGAGAAACTAAGAATGAGTAATATTTATGTGAAGCATGATAATTTTGAACAAGTAAGTTACAATCAAAATATACCAACCAAAATATACCTATATGTTACTGGTATGACTAATATAAAATTGTCAAAGAGATTTTGAATTTCTGAGGTTCCCTTAGATGTTTTGAAGATGGTGGTGGATAAAGTTATGACTGTATGATGATGGTTTGTAAGTATTATGAACCCTTCTGGTTCATTCAGAGTCACCAGTTCCTCTTTAATCAAAATTAATCAAGTGTTTTCTAGTTCACTACTCTAAGTTACACATTCGATTTCTACTGCATTGGATAAAATATTTTATACAATTCCCCAAATTATATTTTCAGCCACTTAGAGAAGAGTAATAATAATGAACTGTCCAAACATATGAAGGCTATTTTGTAAAAATAAAGTACATGAAATTTAAAATGATTTGACCTCCTCTTAACTCACATATTATCTACCAACATGGAATGCAAGATATGCCATTTCTCATACTTGACAGTAAAGAATACTAAATAAAGTATAAAAAGTTTTTAAATTGGTTGAAATCATATCCTAGAAAACCTTATCATAGCAAATTATTAGCATAAATGTTCATCCACAAAAATGTCAAAAGATGTCATCTATTGAAAGTTAATGTGTTTATAATGCACAGAATATGTGCGGGTTTTTCTCCTTTTCTAAAACTTCAGTTTTATCTCATTACAAAGTTGCTATTATGATGTACATCCATACCTGTCTTGGCCTCTCATATTATCAATAACCAGAGATATCACTTCACTCCTAGAAAAAACATTAGCAATCGCTTCTTCCCTGTAATTTCTATGAAAAGATAGAATGAAAGAAAAATGTAGCTTGGAAGAACATGAGTACTAACAAAGGACTCATTTTTCTTTCTTTTTCCTCCACAATCAGCAAGTGCACTCTGGGCTAATTAGCACCACAGTGTGCTACACAGTCTAAGGGAGACAAGAAGTTCACTGGATGTGTATGCACGTGTTCAACTTTGTCCAAAAGGAAGTTCGTTTTCCTGCTCTTTAACAGTTCTTCAGTGCAGCTGTCCACATACTCATTTCCAAAACTGGCTCCACTTAACAGTAAACAGTTGTCCTGCTGTTCAGACATTTCACTTCAAACTATACTAAGTGCCCTACATCACTCAATGGTCTCTAATAGTTTGCAATAGAAACACTACAGTATATAACTCCCTACAAAAGTGATTTGAGTATTAAGGAAAACCATTCAGCTAAAGTTTGTAAGAGATTGGTTGTATTTTCTAATTCCATAGTTATCATAGACATGAACAATAGATTAGGATGAAAGTTATTAAAAAATGACTTAGTCATAAAATTTTTCTCAATTCTTGGGGAGGTGAGGGAAGGAGACAACATCAGGCAAATTCAAGTTTATTTCATGGAAATTATGGCTCTGCTTAGGTCATATTCAATTCCCTGTTCACTTACTTTTGCTTTTTATCCAGAGAATTAGAAATGGGCATCCCATTCTATGTCACCTAGATAATGACATCAATTCCTATTATTTTAATAGTCATTCTTTTAACTTTATCAAGCCAGAAGAATAAATATGCTTGGAAAAGATTGCTCACTTAAGCGTAAGCATACTTTATTAGATTATTAAAATGAAAATGGAAAAAAATAGTTAATGCATCCATTTTCATTTTCAGAAACACATCATGAAATGTGATATTAAGGCCATATCTTACTTAAGTTGCTTTGCCTAATTCTTAAAAGTTCTGTTATTTTATAGGCAAGATGACGTTTATACTAACTATAATCTAGGAAAGAATACATTTTGTAGTATGAATTGTGCTGAAATTTGTGACAGCTGGCTTAAGTTTTGGACCATGTCAGCTTACAGTGAGTTTCATTTCTTTTTACTATTGTGAATTATTTCCATATTGAATTCTATGTAAACAGAAGCTTCTTTGAGCTCAAAAATAGCACTTTTGATTACCCTGCATGGAATTGTTTGTCGCTGTCTATTTTCTGGTTGAACTCAACTGATGTGTGTGCATTCTTTCATAAAAGGCTATGAGAAATCTCGAAGCTTAAACAACATAGCGGGCTTGGCAGGCAATGCGCTGAGGCTTTCTCCAGTCACATCACCCTACAACTCTCCTTGTCCTCTGAGGCGCTCTCGATCTCCCATCCCATCTATCTTGTAAACCAAACTGCATCCAGTCGGCTAAATTATGTCAATTCAAGTACTGTTTACCCTGTAATGGAAATAGTTAAACGTAGCTACTCCAGGCTCTATTAATACAGTATAAGTCCTGCATGATACTACTATTGAAGTCAGAAATGCCACTTGAGTAGTTAAGAAATCTTATTCTGGCTTTCAAGGTTGTCTAAAGTAGTACTCCTATACTTCTCCATACGAATTGCCCTAATTTTCCTTTGGAAATAAAATGACAGATAGCATCAGATATTGGCTAGTACACTAATACATAACCACATCTTCAGGGAAATATATGTACATCGATGTGCTTCCAAATGCCAACCACTTCATTTCTTGTGACTCTAAACCATTCTGAAGATGTCCCGGATCTCCTCTTGATTGCACGTAACACGACTTCGATCAGCACATTTGCATAGACCATCTCGTTTCTATCACCTGAAAGCAATGTTGCAGAGTTGGGGGACTGTGAATGGCTCAGGACATGTGTATACTTGCATGGAACCACCCTGCCGATCTGGAAGCACCGATCAACTGTTCTGCACATTGAATTGAGGGATAGGGAGGGTGAGTTTCTCCTCAACATTTTTTCCTCTTTATTCTTGGAGAGAAGTATTTAAGCACCTTAATCTCTTTATTGATTTCCTTTGCTCCAAAAATTCTGTATTACAATTCTGAATGGCTTTGATATTTTGTATGCAGATAACTGCACAGAGATTGTCATTGTTGATACATGCAAGCTGAGGCCAGATCCCTTAATGACTTGAGGAAGGTACAAATTCAGAAAAAGGTAACTGCCAGCCAGGCTTGCACATTTTAGCCAGGAAGTACTGCTTAGTACTACAGTCATTTTTTTTTAACCCAAGGGTTTGTCATTATTTTCAGAAGCAGAGTGCCAAATAGTAATCCAAAGTTCTGGTGGCTTTTTTTAAACCCCTCTTTCTTTCTTTATTATGATGATTTTTGTGTGCAAAGATCAAAGGTCACGTGTGTTCACAGGAGGCTTTTTTGATTAGCCTTAAAGTTCTGAATCAAAGGACTATCATCGGATAATCAGGCAGTCTTTAATCAGGTGCTTTGTCCTGTATGTCATTTCTGTCTGTCTGTCGTAGCTCCCTGTCTTAACTGCATATATCATTTGTCTCCATGAAGTCTAGAAATGCCTTGATACGGTGTTTATGATTTTAATACTGAAACCCTGTCACTTCCTACCCACTGTAGCCTCTGCTATTTTGAGCAGCCTCTCTGCTTTGTGTATTAAGTAGTGATGCCCTGTAGACTACCTACGTTAATCTGCACTGTGACTCTTTTTGATAAGTAGGATTTAAACAGTAATTTCACCATTGCACTTGATTGCCTAATGTAGTGTCAGCCTTCTCCACTGCCTAGCAACTAGCATTCTTCACCACACTCCAGCAAAACCCCTGGGGAGTCATATTCAGTGTGAGTGGTAGAAAGTCTATTTGCATACACATCCCTCCCAAACGCAATAGCAATAGTGTATCTGTTGTACCAGGCATGTGAGGGAAGTACAATGCCATAATATACATTGAAGAATAATGCTTTAAGGCATTTAGGATCCTTGATATTGTTAACTAATTCTTAATGTTCATTTTTTTTCTATTTTTGGTTAGGATGACAATTGCCATTTTTATGATTGGTCAAAAAAAAGTATGTATTACTGTGTATTCCCAAATCCTAGAGCATGAGCTGCATGTCGGAGATCTTATACAGCAAATTATCCACCCAGGCACACACACCTGCTCTTTAGAGATACTGTGATCTTTTTTATAACACCACACACACAGAATGTCCTAATTATACACAAGTTTCTAGTAGAGGAATTACTATGCTGTCTGGTGCTGCTGTTCCTGACTCCAGTGTTGTACAGAATTTATCATGGATATTTTTGACGGCTGAAAAAAGGGACAGTGGAATGTAGACATGCCAAGGATTTTTACTGGAAACAATTGCTGCTGCTGACTGTGCTCTGAGGTGACCAGGTTGCTGTACTTACAAGCGGCTCCCTTATCTTCACGAAGCATCTAAAGCTTGCAATGGAACTGTGGCTGCAGCTGGCTTTGTGCTCCCACGTGAGCATTCTGCTGGTAGACTGACGAGTATCAGTAAACACCTGTAAATACCAACACGTGTGCACGGGTCCACCACTTTGGTCACCTTTCATCAAAGGAAGCCAAACTCACGATCTATGAAGCTTCAAGTGAGGCCCAGGCTTCTTCACATTACCCCTAATGGGCCCACTGTAGGGTGTGTTGTGAATTATACAAGGCAGTGATACAGATGTATTCTAGACCTGTTTTAGTTTTTCTTGTTTCTACTTTATGGGTAAGTTCTAGCAACATTGACTGTATCATTCTCTTATAAACTGTTTATCAACTTGTCATTTCTGTAAAGTTGTTTTTCTATTTATCAAAAGCTAACCAATTTTTAGTCATATAATTTGTGTGGTTCTGGCAATTTGTTATAGTTTCAAAGAATGTCACCAATAGTCTTCATACTTTAAGCCTTTCTGTCGTTGTTACCTCAACTATAAATATTAAGAAATATAAAATTCTGGCAGTGAGAGTATTTTTTTAATAAATGACCAAGAAATAATGTCAGTATATAGTGGAATATTAATCAAATTATATCCTAAGATGTATATTTTGCATAACAGAGATATTCTTCAATCAATTAATTTTTGTGAGTTTTGTGGCAAATGAAGCTTGTACTTGTCTTTAAAATTGTTGTGGTTAAAACTGTATTAGAATTTTTCACAGTGCTTATCAATATTTCCAGAATATATTAGTTCCCCTGGGATTCTGAATATAACATATAAACTAATTATGAACCCCTGTATTGTGGACCTTTTTGTGACCATTTCAAGGTGCATGCATAACCTTGGCAAGAATGGACAGACATGTAACTAATTGAAATGAAGAATAAAAGGCAAATGAACTGGGGACAAACTTGAATCCTATCTGATTAAATTATTCATGGTCTTTTCTTGGCTCCTTTCTTTGTATTAGTTTTCAATAGCTTTGCTATTTTTATGCTTTTTGGTAGATTACTAGACACTCACACCTAATATAGAATTTTGAATGGAAGAATTTTAAAAGGTACATGACTCTTACAATCATTCAGTTTTAGATATGTAGTCAGTATTCTCTCTTGCTTGGCTTGCTGACTTATCTCTCATAATTATGAAATTTAAAATGATTAATGATTATAATATTCAATACATATGTACTCAGAATGCTAAATGTTGCCTGTTTTCAAGTTTAATCACGGTAATTCTGGTATCATATATTTTTGTTTTCTTCCTATTGGTAATAAAAATTAGGAGCAGAGAGGCACAAATCTTCATGCACATTTTCGTCACAGGTGATCAACTTTGCCACAGATTCTAATTTTGAAAATAGTTATTGCACCTCTTGTAAATGCTTCATCATTGAGACAGCTCCTGTCTCAACTTTGAGTAATGAATCTCAGCTTCTGTCACACTATACATACCTGTCATTCCATTTATATCATAAAGATATGTGCAGATTTACATTGTGATTTCTATGACACCATCCAGAGGTAGGAGACATATAAAATTTTAAAAAGGAAAAATGCTGTCAAGCCCAGCCCTTTCCTACAATATATCTGTGGCATTTTCAGTCTATAATCATGTTCAGTGTTGATTATTCAGAAGTGAGCTTAGAAAAGAGAATATATCTAAACAAATTACCTATAGAATATTTTTAATAATGGTATAAGGATGCAGAATTTACTGTGCAAAAAAAATATGGAAGAGTTGGGTGCTGGTGGCTCACGCTTGTAATCCTAGCTACTCAGGAGGCTGAGATCTGAGGATCGCAGTTCAAAGCCAGCCCTGGCAAGAAAGTCTGTGAGACTCTTATCTCCAGTAAACCACTAGAAAACTAGAAGTGATGCTGTGGCTCAATCGGTAGAGCGCTCACCTTGAGCTGAAGAGTGCAAGGACAGAGCTTAAGCCCAGAGTTCAAGCCCCATGATCGACCAAAAAAAAAAATATGGAAAAAGTTGAAGAGATCTGTTGTAATCCATGATACTTGCCATTGGAATTTATTTATAAAATCAAGATTAAATAGTCATGGATGAAAGTTAAGACATTAATTTTTATCTTTGGAATAATTCACAAGACAGACTAATGGAGTAGCTATAGTGAACTTATCTTACCAAGACAAAGAACATGTCAACAGATTATATTGCAGAGGGAACTTTAGAGGATTCACAACACCCATGCTTGAAAATGTTTATGGCCAAATGAATCTATTAAAATACTAAAATTCTTAACAGTTTGAGATGATTGAAATATATGGTTTTTGATTTTTACATACTGGAAAAATAATCTCATTCTTCTAATTTCCATCACCAAATTCAACTCTTCTGAACACTACTTTTATTTAAAATGTGGGATTTTTTAGATATTTTCTAAAAGTTAAATGATTTAACACAATTAAAATTGCTTTATTCATTTTGTTAATCGCTTTTGCACACTATCATGCCCAAGTGATTGATGACTGAAAAATGCAATTTTCATCTTCATATCTTCAGAGAATATAGTCTTCTCCATTGAATGATTTATTTTTTTAAGTTGTGACTTTACAGCAAAACTGAGTGGAAGATACAGGGAGTTCCCGTGTACCCTTCCCTCCTACACTGCAGACGTCTCAACCTCTCGCACCATCTGTGGTACATCTGTTAAAAATGATGGATCTATGAGCCTAGGATGACACACCATTATTACTGTCTGCATTAGGCTTTATTGTAGGTGTTCTATTTCCTGTGGACTTTGGAAACTTCACAGTGATTTGTAGGTGCCATTATGATATCATCCACACCACTTTCTTAACTTAACTTTCTCTTCTTAACTCTGAAGGTTAACCTTTTTACTCTCTGGAGTTTTGATTTCTAGGATGTCCTGAAGTCAGAATCAAACATTGTATAGTTTTAAAAGCTGGC